AGCACGCCGTGCTATCGATAAAAATCGATACCAATATCAGCGTACGCTCACTCATGCGCGCCCCTGGGAAAAATGCCGATACGGCTGCAGTCAGCCAATCAGAGGCCAGTTGCGAGCGAGACGCGAGCAGCGAGTCTCGATTCGCAAGTCATTGCTATTAGGGCAGGTCAAAAACTCGAGCTCAGCCGGGATTTGAACCCGGGACCTCTCGCACCCGAAGCGAGAATCATACCCCTAGACCACTGAGCCACGCCTTCGTGGTCGCATTTGCAATTATTACACTCGTGCTGGAGTATATTCATGGCTCACTTCTAAATGCCCTCTAATTTACATGAAATAGGAACCACGAGAGCATAGCAAACCAATATTCATGCTCAGACCCTTATTCCAAAACATTCCCATTTTTAAGACAAAGTCAAATTAATGAATTATCATGCTTCTAGATGCCCTTCCGCGCATTTCACCAGAGATTATGGACGTTCTGGGAAACGCCAATTTTATTGTTCCCCTGATCTCTTTCATGGACTTCGAGTGCATAAGTACGTTCTGTTTGAATGAATCATCTGCCACCGCTCGAAGTCTTTCAGCCGGGAGAAACTTTGAATGAGAGGCAGCTGCAGGTTTATGCGCGTTTTGTTGAACTGGTTTGGACCCCATTGACACTTTCTACCTCACCGCGCCCCTTTTAGGCTAGGAGAGAGTTTGCTGAGAGCAGTTCAGGACGCGATATTACGCTTGATCACGCGCATGAACTTGCCAGAAACAGAGAGTTTTGGCCTATTGAAGGTCCCCGGCGCGTTGGTCTCTCCTTGGCACTCGCAGCCGGCAATCCGTCTTACTTTGCCAAATTAATGGAAATAATCGGTGTACAACTGCAAATCCGCGCTCTGCTTGGCTTGCTGCAAAATCCAGCAGCTCTAACAACAGAATTTCAATCACTCTCCAAGTAACCTAAAGACTCTTACTGTTTTTTTTTTAATAATGCAGGAAGAGCACTTTGATACCGTGATTAAATTTTAACCTGCGAGCTTTCCACTACACTATGGCGGCGGCGCCTTAAGCCATCTGGAGACTCTAGCCGGTACGACCATCAGGCCCAGTTCCAAACAGGAAAAGGAGTGGGACGTCAGTTGAAAGGAGATTGTATTCTGCAGCGAACTATTGGAAAGAAGGTTGGCAGTCGGACGAGTGCACGTCCCACTCAGCGAGAGCGACTTCCGCGAATGTGAGACACTGGGGCAGTCTTTTAGCGCCTGCAGCAAGGTCATGTCTGAGTCAACCTCGAAGCTGATTGGCAAGTTTAGGCAGCCGCCACTGACCGATAATCAGACTGCAATTGGTGCGATGGTACAAGTAGTCGCGAGAGGCTCAGCGTTGCAACATGCGTCCAGAGTTGAGCCACTACAACGCCTTATCAGTTGTAACAGAATTAACGCTAAGTTTTTCTGGGCATCAGATTTTTCAATATTACCAGGTAGATAAAGACTCTAGGCCCACATTTGATTACAGTGTGGTGCCAGTTTGGTGAATATATCCGGGATATACCGTGAGTGACCGATCTCATGAAATGTTGGCCAAAATTCTGAAATGCGTTTTCGATTTGGAAGGATTACTTTGATGGGGTTGTAATATTGATTAGCCCGCAGCACAATCCTATACTTTGGAGCCTGATCAGCCGTTGCAATAGCGCCTAGTGATTTCAGTCTACAGGGTGCATGCGTTCTGCGTAAGGAAAATAATATATTCTTCCATGCCTTTTAAAAGATGCCATATTGAGTTCATGAAATTGTGTAATGGATGCGGACTACGTTATACATTGCAGGAGCAGCAGTGGTAAACAGAACGGTACGATGTTGTATGAATGGACACTGCGCGGTCTTAAAAAATCACATAATTAGAAACTTTTTAAAACCTAATTATACTCTTTCTTTGGATATAAAATATGAAGTTGGCGTTATTCTCTATTAAACGAGTGAAAGAAGGAGTATTTTTGCTCATGTTTTCTATAAAATATATTTAAATTTATAAGACCATCGAAAATCAGTGTGAAAATGCATGTTTCTTAAGTAGTCATTTTTTACCAAGTACGGTTTCCACAGCAGATTTAAAAGAAGTGCATTCAAGCGCCAACATCCTGCCGAATCCGAAATACTATAGGATTATGTGGCGGGCTAATCAGTATTACCGCCCCACCAAAGTAATCCTTCCTAATCGAAAACGCATTTCAGAATGTTGGCCAACATTTCATGAGGTCGATCACTCACTGTATGTAAACATACTGAAACCATATGTAGAAATTGAGGATGAATTCTTCCTTGGAGAGGGAAACACGCTTGTCTGAAAGCTCCCGCTTGTATGTGAGTGCATCACTGACACCAAATGACCAAGAAGCAGAATCAGATGGATCTATCAAAAATGCGTCTGCAAAACCTGTGATTTAATAACTTTGTCCTTGGGTACCGGGTACACCGTTGCCCTGGACAAAGCTCGCATTGTTAACATTTGGCCCTCCAGGGAAGGATGACTCATGCCTCGTTTGGCATATCCAACCGGATATCGCGCACAGAAACCCTACAGGATACATAGAAGGGAGAGCAGTCAACCAAAACGGGATGAAGTCACAAACGTTGGACAAATATCCACTTTTAGGCCCATTCTAAAGATTCTGTGTTCTGCACAATCGCCGGTGAACCAAAGTCAGGATGTACAGAACAGAGTGTTTTACTCTCCCAAATACTCATATACTTCTTGAGACGATTATCTTTCATTGCGTGCACCCCAGTGGGAAGGCCGCATCGGGCGGATGGCTGAAGAGCGCTTGCAAGTACGATGAAAAAACGCAACGACTCAATGACACTCTAAGAACTTCTCTGACGCACCGTTACATTACATCAAAAACGTGGGAGGGCCTCTCAAAAGATGGGCAGGCTCTGCAGCCTGCCTTAAAAGATGGCGCCTCCGCACACGAAACTAGCCCTTTGACGAAAACGAGGGGGCGAAGCAACAGGCATGTAATGCCGGCGAGTTGCGAACCAGTGTCGCCTACACCCAGCCCTGCTACTGTGTCCGCATTGTTAATTTGAATTCAGAGCGCGGGTTGGTCTGCTTGGACACTGTAAAGGCTTTGACAGTGGTTTTACCCTAATGACAATAAGTATTTCTAATATGACAATGATGACAATAAGTAGAAACCAATTCCGACTTGGAGGAGGCATCGGTAGGAAGAGAGGTGTATTCGGCTTAAAAGTCTGTTGGCGGTCAAAGCGCCCGACGCACGGAGTCTGCGCGCGCGCCGTGAGCTTGCTTCCCCGCTGGGTATGAGCACGGCTGCCCAGTCATACCCCTCCTTCTGACTCGCTGTTGTGCTGCTGATGGCAAAACTCCTGGTCAAGTACTTTTTTGCGGACCAGGAAGTGTAGTGGTAGGCCTAGGTGCGGGTCCAGCCGTGCCAGTCACCTGCGCCCTCTCTCGCCTCTGGTCTTCTTGGCTATATCATGACACGAGGGCCAGGTGGAGAGGAGGGGCTAGTGAGGTAGATGCTGCGAAAGTCTGCTTTCACTATAAACTTATTCATGCGCAAGTCACTGTGTCTGCATCACCTTGCTGTGGAGCACACGCTGTACATCTTCGGGGACCTGAGCAATTAACTAAACGCAAGCACAGTAGTCGGGTCACTTTTATCCAAGCTGTTTCCAGAGGTTGCTGCAGACGAAATTAAAAGACCGGATTATAACCACCCAGGTCATGGAATCGGCTGGCATGCTCAAAGTATCCGGAATGTTGAGGGATATCTAGCATCAGCCTAGTGGTCACGTTGTGCGGATGCAGTATGGTCGTCTGTCTAAGCAGGCCTTTCATGCTGGCGTTGCCAGCAGTACTTGTCGGTTTCTTCCCTGTAAGTGGGACGTTTCGCATGCCATAAGATCAGTAACATCTGACTTTAATGACCCTATTTTTGGTTTCATCTGCGCAGTGCGTCAGGTCTTAATGAGATCTAATGCATACTCTTTTCTCCTTCTTTTGTACAGCACTCACTACGACGAGTTATTTTTTGAATCGACTGGTAGTGTACCATGTGATTTGGCTGAGGCGGAACAATTTCTGCAGGGAAAACTCGAGCAGGCAAGAATCCTCGACGTGGTAGGCAGTTGCGGGTGCACAAAGTTGAAGTTTGTACAAACGATAATTTACGTTCTACTTGCAAATTATACGTAATATTTATTATTTCGTTCGAAGGCACTGCCACGTCTGGCAAGCAGACTGGGAAACGAAACGGACGGTGAACTAGCCGACGTAGAAAGACATTCTGCAAATGGGGACTCTGGACTATTCGCCGATACCTCAGTTATAAACGAGCCTTCTCCGAAGGTAATGTATCGTGGCACTTCTTCCTTTTCAATATTCCTATTATATGCGCCAGAATACTCGCATTGTTGTAAGTTGATCCTCCAACAGAATGCCGCCATTCGAATTTCTCGTTCTCAAAGACACTGACATGAAGTGAACACTTCTGTATCAAGCCGACAGAAATTTACGCCAGTTTCAGACAGATGTACGACTCAAAAACATAAATTTCAGTCAACCCTGGTCTGTTGATAGGGACCAAACATTCGATATCCAATGACGGTAGCCTGACAATCCAGTTCCTCAAGCTTGTCTGTGAAATCAACTTCTGGGATAAAGATGTTACAGCGAACGTTAAACGTATAAACGAGATCGCTAACTAACTCATGAACCGTTTTACGTCCTCACCTGGTTAAGCAGGTCTCGGCGACGAATAAGCAGCCAAGGGGGCTTTTGCTCCACTTACGCCTTTATGGGCGGGAAGTAGCTTTACATACCCACTGATCAATTCGTCTTCACGCCTCTGTTATCAATCGCGTGGTTCCAGCCCTGAGCTGTCCAACTATCTCCGCCGCTGCGAAATCTAAAGTGGCAATTAACCATAGGTTGTGATTGGAGATTTAAAAATATGATGACCTATAGTAGGTGGTTAAACTTGTACTTGTACTTGATACGGCTGCGATCATGTCTGATCTAGCCGGCCTCGATGATGTCCCGAACTGTACCTCCCCACGCGTGACGATCCGCGGCAGCAGATCTAGACAGCTCAACCCATTCCCTTCGCCAACGACGGAGACCGAATACCGAAGGTCCAAGAACCACCTCCATGTCTTGACGGACAGTGTCGAGCCAGGTGGTGAACTGACCCCCTCTTCGACGCCTCCAATGGGGCAACGGTGCCGGATCGAGGGCAGTAACACTGAGCTCCTGAGGTGGACGACGAAGAACATGCCCGAACCACCTCAGTCGTCTTTCTTGGATGGCCTGAGTTATCCTTGCGATGTTATCACAGCGAGCGCGGACTATCTCATTTGAGACGAAGTCGGTTACCTTCACTCGAAGGATGATCCTCAAGCAGTGGTGGTCAAATACCTCCAGTTTTCGCTCATCCTCCACGCGCAAAGCCAGGCATTCACAACCGTAGAGAAGGGCAGACTGGACAGATGCACGGTACACGCGAATCTTAGTGGCGATGGAGAGGTCACGTCGGTTCCACAGGCATTTCCGAAGGCTTGAAAAAACCCAGCGGGCAGCGTCGATTCAGGAGACAATGCCGTTCTTACTCTGTCCATTAGGCAGCAGCCTCGCCCCGAGGTATTTAAAACTGTCCACTTCTTCAAGTTGACAGTCATCAATCCCCACGGGTGCCTTCTCCTGGTCAGGGATGCAGCTTGAGAATACTTTAGTCTTCCCAGCGTTTATGGACAACCCGACTGATTTAGCGACCTCGTTCACCCGTGACACCATAGACTGCAGATCACCAAAACTTGAAACAGGTAAGGCGATATCATCGGCATAGTCGAGATCAGTCAGTCGATGTCCGGGTGCAAATTCAACGTCGTCACTGTCGCGTAGGGCCCTCCCGAGGATCCAGTCAATAGCGTAGTTGAACAGTATGGGTGACAGGATACAACCCTGTTGGACGCCAGACCGAATACCGAACGGTTGGGAAAGATTGTTACGGACCAGGACTCTCGCAGTAGTGGAGCGATAGTAGGCCTTGATCATGGCGATGATTTTTGCCGGTACACCATCTAGCGCCATTATCCGCCACAGGGACTCACGGTGAACGGAATCGAACGCGGCGGCAGTCAACGAAGCAGACGGCCGTCGGTTGTTGGTAGCTATGGCGAAATTCGAGAATGCGCCTTCGTGTGAATATTTGATCTGCGCATCCATCTCATGAAACTCATGAAATGTCAACCGAAATTCTGAAATGCATTTTCGTTTCGAAAAGACTAATTAAGTAGGGTTGTAAAACTAATCATCGGGCAGCGTAATTCTATAATAATTCAGTTACCTCAGGGTGCCGGCCTTCAAACGAACTTCTTTCCGGCTGCATGTAAAAACCATACTCTGTGAAAAACGACTACATAAGTAGCATGCACTTTTCTCTTTGATTTCCGATACCCTTAAAAATTTAATTATATTTCATGAAAAACATGCACAAAAATATTAGGTTTTTTGCTAATTTGGTAGAAAATTACGTCTTCTTCCAATTTTATACTCGAAGAAAGGGTATAATTCGGTTTTCAAAAACTATTCCAATTCCCGAATAATTTTCAACCCGACCTGCCGTTACACTTGCATTCAGGGTTTCCAAACTACGAGCCGTATGTTTTCCACGTACGGAAAGCCGTACATTTCTCTACGGTATTGAGAGGAGACCATGTGGGGTTCATAAAATGTAGCAGTAGATTTGAGCCATATCGTCAGTTTTACAAGTCACATTGGTAACTGCAGAGACATGACGTTTTATAGACGGCCATCTCACAGTATTAAAAAATCTCACAATGAGAAACTTTTAGAACCGAATTATACCCTCTCTTCGAATACAGAATTGGAAGAAGACGTAGTTTTTCACCGAATGAGCAAAAGACGAAATATTTTTATGCATGTTTCCCATGAGATATAAGTTAATTTTTAAGGGCATCGAAAGTCAATGAGAAAAATGCGCGCTACTTATGTAATCACTTTTTACAGGGTATAGTTTTTGCATGCAGCCGGAAGGAAGTCCGTTCAAAAGCCGGAATCCTTAGGTTACTGGATTATTATAGAAATGTGCTGCAGGATGATTAGTTTTACAACCCTACTTAATTACTCTTTCCGAAACGCAAACAAATTTCGGAATTCCGGTTGACATTTCATGAGTTAGCCCACCTACTGTACTTTCGAACGGCTAATTCCGTTTGTCGATTTGTTGGACCGATGGGGAAGGAAATCGATCTAGGCCTCTTATTTCCTGTGTCTGAACCGTATTTATAGGCGGCACTGGGGCCTTACACGGGTTTCCTGAGTTTGAACTAGTAAATAACGTCATGCCATTAGTCATTTGGCAGTTTATAACTTGTCGTATGATTCACCATGCTTGCAAAAAAGGTACTTGTTGAAAGTCCAGACACGTGTGTTTTTTCCGAAATTTTGTCGCCGACTTACACGGGTCGAGGGGCTCGGCTCATCTGTGGGTCCTCCAGCCTTCCCCGTGTGTTTTCTGGTATATGAACTCCAGTCTAGAAATGTTAGTATTTTCATCCCCACCTATGAGGCTTCATTTGGAGTTAACGCGTTACTTTCTGAGGAGATTAGAAGGCTGAAGTTTCAGAACTGGAGCATCTACCAGAAAGCATTCGGGGAACGCTGGAAGACCCACTGGTGAGTCTTGCAACTGTAGCGGCAGATTATCGGCGAAACACGTGTCTGGGACTCTAGTTATTACCTTTGTTGTCAAGGCTGGTACATCGCACAACCCACGTATATACTACTATCTAGGCATAATTGTATTACCGACAAAGACAATGGAGACTGGAATGGCCATTTCTGGCTTATTAGCCGTCGTCAGCCAGCCATACCCAAGCCCGAAGTGTGGAACATCCGAGCCTCGAACTCGCGACCTGTTGGTTTAGAAGTCCGCGCCTCTACTCACCGGGCCACGAGCCCGTTGCCTTGTCGGGCCTCTGCCTCTGCCTCTTGGCAGTTTACGAACATTACGCAATCATTCCACTGAGGCTGGTGGATTTCGGCCTAAATATTCATATCACCTTTCCGATTGAGCCTATCACGTCTCAGTTTGACTGACATACTCCAAGTTGGCGCATAAATTTCAGAGGAACTTAAAAAAAACTAAGAGTTTGCTGCTTCATTTTCCGACACCGGCTCTGTGCAGTCTTCAGATTTTATCCGCGGGTCAGGTGATGAAATGCCAAAAACTGTCGTCGCGACCTCTCAGACGGAGTCCGCTGGCGCCAAAGCCGGTCTACCTCCGCTCAGATTACCCTTGGAACTTCAACGAACTCCACAGCCCTCCTCCACCTCGTCAGCCGTCAGTCCTGAGCCGAGTGAGGATCCCTCCATCCACTCGATCCGCCAAAAACCGGACCATGACGAGGTGGCACCTCCACGGCTGTTAAGAGATGATGCAATGTCCAAACGGCAGAACCTTCTGCGAATTCAAAGAGATCGATTGGTTCATATGAGGATGAATTCAATCCAGGAGGCACTGGTTGCTGCCACGCCTGCAGATAACAGTTGTCGGTCACAACAGAAGCAGCAGCTAAAGGGCATTCGATTTGAGGTGGGTTGATATTTTCTTCTGACTTCTATCATTTGCCCTCCTCCATGTGGGCTCCCACGGTATAACTGTGTCAACCAAACAAGCTGTGAATTCTGCTT